CCCCGGGCAGCGGCTGCTCGGGGGCCGCCATGGGCCCGGGAGAAGGAACGACCGAGACGCGGAGCGGACCACCGCAGTGAAACGCAAGCTGGGATCAATGGCTAAGTTTTCCGCCTCGCGCGAAGGATTCTGGTACCACGGAAATGCCGCGAGAGGTGGTCGCCTTCTCGCGAGACGCTCGCGAGAGTGACACTTTGGAGGGCGGTGCCTGGGACTGGAGGGCGTGGTTCTGCAGTGATTGGAAAGGAACGTGGTTAGGATTCCAGGCGGCTGTGGAAGGTATTAAAAACGAAAATGTGCCCGAGAGAGTGTGAGGATTTAAAAAGTTGTCAAAGAAGGAACAGAGAGGCAATACCTCAATCGAGCTGAGGAAGGAGGAGGGAAGCCCGACAGGAGGAGTCTGATCAACTGACAGTCAAAGGTAGCCTGTGGAGCCAAATCTTGAAATGCAAACCCTTTTGCTTTTTAAAACTATAGTTTATGTGTTATTTTTGAACCAAGACTGGATAATTGTTAACTTTGATAGTAAAGAAAAAGTCCCACCTTTACAGCTGCTTTTTCATTAGGGAAAGTAGCAAACGCTGTATGTTTCTGAAAAAGAATTAAGGCACAAAAATTATTTCGAATATAATTTCAGGTTTTCATAAGGAAGTCTGATATTTTACCAGTTAGTAGTGATTTGACACATTAATAAAATCTTGGAAAAGAATGAAAAATCAAGATCACTGATTACTGATAATTTCACACACACACACACACATCTGTCAAACAGTTCAACAGATCAAAAGTTTAAAAACTTCTACTATACCCAAAGGACTATCCTTAAACTATCCAAAAATATAAAATATCTGCTATTTTATAATACATATAAAGATCTTAAACTTTATACACCCAAATGCAGAGTTTAAAAATGTTCACAAGAAAGAAAATTCCTTGAGTGCATGTTTCCTGTGGGCTTTATCTTTGTAATAAGGGTTCAAAGGAAGAACTCTATGTTTAAATATAAATTACATTAAGTCGAAAGAAAATAAACTATTATGCTAAGAAAGAGTTCTTGCCTAAAGCATTTAAAGTTGCTTGAGTAAATTGTTACTTTTGTCTAATCTGATCCAAGATGACTTGATTAAATGCACTTAAACTGAACCACTTAGAATATTCGTATCTGCTAGTCCACAGCAGGTCCTGAGCAGTGAATGTCATTTTGTTCAAAGTCCGCTCCTTCTAAGTTGATGAGCTGCCTCGGGAACTTGATTACCTCTTGTTTCCATCAATCAGCCTGTGGTAAAACCAGATTCCTTGTACGTCCTTTTGCTTAAAGTTGCAGAACCTATCGATGACATGGAGGACTTACTGTACCTGACACTTGGACCAAACTGGTCTTTTTTCACTAATCCTCAACCCTGGCTGCATATCAAAATCCTAGGGGCCCTGCAGCTCCACGGGTGACTTGCCCCAAAGACCACCTTGCGGAAACTTAACAGCTCCTTCCTCTCCTAATGCAGACAAGTCCAGCTAAAACGTCGTCAGGTATAAAAGAAACGAAATAGGAATTCTGTAACTAGTTCTCTCCAATTTCCTATGGCAGTTTCTCCTCTCTGTTTATGGACTGTCTTATGAGTGGCTTTTAAATGAGTCAACACTTTTTTAAGTGCTTCTTCCCTGTTTCCGAGAGCACGGAGCCTGGGAGGAACACCCCTATCTTCCGAGGCGTTTGGGGACCCCGGGATGGGTGCTTAACTAAGCCGCGTCCCCTCTTTCATCCTCGCCTTCCCCACCTCCCTGTCCAGCGGCGCTGTCACCGATCCAGGCTTCCGCCCATCAAAGCGCAGCGGGACCCGCAGGAGATGCGGATGGGAGAGAGGGGAGCCCCGCGCCGCGAGCAACTCGCCCCACGCGAGCGCCTTACCAGTCGCCCCTTATCGGACAGGACGCGCACGGACTGCGCCCCGAAATACTTAAGCAAGTCCTCTTTCTCCTCCGCGGTCAGCTCGGCCGGCAGGTGCCTCACCAGGAGGGTTCGGTCGCCCCGCGGCGGGGACAGCGAAGCG